TGTCAAAGCCCACGAATTTGTGATCCTGAATTAAACATGGTTCGGGCCTTGCCCTCTTGAGATGAGGTCCAGCCTGAACCTTGGGGCTTTAGCAGGTCTCCTGTGTTAGGTTCCCAAGCCCACGCCACATGCTTCCATCTCCATATCCCCATGGGGCGAGCATGACGGTCCGGGATGTGAGTTGTTCTGAGCGGCAGTAACGTAGACACGGAACACAAAGGTGCTCTGTCACGAGTGGGGAAAGCCACCTGGAGCAGGGGCCAGGTCGGTGGGCCCACGCCACTTGCTTCCATCCCCGTATGCCCACATGGCGAGCATGACGGTCATGAGCTCCGTGATGTCTGAGTCCCAGGGAAATGCCGGCCCTTGTGGGCCAGGTCCCAAGTCAGTTTACACATTTTATGTAAAACCAGATCGTTTTCTCTTTCTCCGATCTTTACAGATGCTCGCTGATGACGGAGCCTACAGGAAATGTGGAGGAGGAGGAGGACGACGACTTAATGACACAAGCAAAAGATGACCAGAAACCTGCTGCCGAGATGTGAGTTGTTCTCAGCGGCGGTATCTTAAACTCAGAACAGAGAGCTGCTCTGTCAGGAGTGGGGAAAGCCAAATGGAGCAGGGGCCTGTTTGGTGGGCCCCCACCTTCCCTTCCGTGGCAGGTCCCCTGTGCGCACGTCCCTCCCAGCTCTTTAAGAATGGAGTTTCTTTCTGTCCCGCCCTCAGAGGCATCCTCTGAGGGTTGGCGAATGCAGCTGGCCATGAGCCTGTGGGAGGGGCCTGGAGTCTGTGGTTTAGAGCCACTGAAGTAGGACTGTCAGGCTGTGTCTCCAGGTTTCCGGACCTGGAATGCCGTGTTTCTGTTTGGGGAAGGAAGCGTGGCCCGGACACCCGGGCCAGCACCCATGGTCTTCAGGCTTCCCTCTTGGGCTTCCCTACATTCCTCTGGAGTCTCTGGGCCTCAGGGTGGCTCACCATCATGTACCCTTCTGCAGAGCAGCAGCCCAGCGGGGGGCCAGCTTGGTCCCTGAGACTGCCAGGCTCCATCCAGCAGGCCTTCCCCTGGGTGTGGGCCTGAGCCCCAAGAGCTGGGCCTTCAGGTTGTCCTGCCCCAGCCCAGCCTTGAGATCAAATCACCATGAATCCCGCAAGGCCTCCTGTGGACATCCCAGAAGCTCAGCATTTCCCAGCCTCCGCCCAGGCCAGGCCAGATGGGGCCCAGTATTGGGTTGGGCCGGCCAAACCCCACCCATGCACCAATTGGTGCTCTGAGCGTCTAGTCTATATATTTGGAAAAACATTTTTATTGTTTTCAGAGAGGAAGGGGGAGAGAGAAACATCAATGATGAGAGCGAATCATTAATTGGCTGCCTCCTGCACGTCCCACATGGGGAATTAAGCCCGAAACCCGGGCATGTGCCCTTGACCTGAATGGATCCCAGGACCCTTCAGTCCAGAGACCATCACTCTATCTACTGAGCCCAACTGGCTAGGGCTATTTTAAGTTTTTTTAAACATCACCTGGGTGTGGGCAAGAGAGAGAGAGAGAGACCTCAATATGAGAAAGACACATCAAATGGTTGCCAGCGCACACACTGGGCCCAGGGATAAATCTGTAACCCAGGTACATGCCCTTGACCCAGAATCAAACCCTTGACTCTTGGGTGCTCGGGCCAGGGCTCTAACCCCTGAGGCACGCCAGTCAGTGTTCACTCCTTTTCATCCAAATGGACCACTGGGCCCTGCCCTCTTGCCCCCTCACCCCAATTCCTCAGTGCCGGGAAGGGGCAAAGTCTGCCCGCCTGTCCCACGTGCTATCAGCTCTAGGCGGGAATGAGGAGGTCCTGCCCTTTTGGAAATGCCCTTGGATGCACAGTTGCCAGCACAGCTAGATGACACGGCACCTGTTCCGGTGCCTCCCAGGGACCCAGAGTGGAGGCTGCAGGTGAAGTTCTGGTTCCCGAGAGCCTAGTGTGGTTTTTGCCACCGGGATCGCTTCTCCCCTCCCTGGGTCTGTGCCAATGAACGGCAAATGTGTCCCATGCCCCGAGGCCACGTGCGATGATCATGGTGTTGGTGACACACGTTCGTGGGAACCTGGTGCTGAAGCCCGTTAATGGCCACTTTCTCCGTGGAAGGGGCAGCGAGGGTTGGCATGTCCTGAACCTCTGCTTCTAATAGGAGAAAGTGCAGGAGTCGACTAAGAGCCTTGCTCAGATTTTTCCAACGCCAGAGACGAGGCTCAAGAGGACAAGCCAAGTCACCTGCAGAGAGCGCTCCCGGGTCCCCGGAGGCCACCCCAGCCGGCTCAGGCCGGCTGGAAGACAGAGACACAGGCAGTGAGCCCCTGCCAAAAGGTAGGAGGCGCTGGGCAGGCTGCAGGAGGGCAGTGCAGGGGAGGATGGCAGGCCTCCCTCGTGGGCAGGGTAGAAGCATTGAGAAGCCAGCTGGGTGTGCACACGTGTGCTTGGAGGCTGAAAGGGGTGCTCCGCACACACCCACCCACGTCGGGCCCCTTACGTGTGCGGACACCCAGATAGAGAATGTGAACCCCCGTCTCTGTTGTGGTGGTTTCGTCCCAGAACCATTTAGTACCTTCAGCATGAGAAGCCTCCCCATCACAGACACTGTGGTGGGTCCTCAAGTATCCAGAGCGGATCTCCCGACAGTTGCCACAGAGACAAGCTCGGGAGAGTATGTTTGTGGGCTTCCTGGTCTGTGCCAGGCCTCAGATTAGCCATTTCTGTAGGGAGATCCCACGCATGTAACATGTCATGGACATCTGCCGGGTCTTCAGCAAGGCTCGGGCTCTGCTCTTCCCGGGCCTCTAAAAGCAGGTGTGGTTCTCCTCTCCTCCCGACCCGGCCCTGAGTCCTCCCACCAGGGGGCGCGCATTTAGGACTGTGGCGGGCAGGAGCCAGAGGTGCCAGGGGTTTTCTATCTGCATGTGCTGCTGGCGTTGCCTGGGACCTAAGAGGCCGGCAGCTGTGAGCTGCCCCGTTTCGTGCTCATAAAAAGAAAATGAATGGGCGGTGGCAGTGACGGTTTTGTCAGCATTGCCAGCTTGCTGACAGTGACTGTGAGAGTGCCCAACTGCAGCCTGGTTTCAGAGAAGTGAGGTGTGGTGGTGGTGGTGGGGGGGGGGTGTTCATCTTACAACCGACTGAAGAGAGCCATCGCCTTAAATGTCGTTTAGTTTTCAAATTCACTTGGAAATATCATTTTATTGGTTATTCTATCTAATTAAAGAGTGATATGCAAATTGATGTATCTCTGCCACACCAACAAGCCATGCCCACCATCCTATCAGGATCGAGTATGCAAATTAACCCAACCAAGGTGGCTGCGGCCACAGAGAGAGCAGAAGGCTTGGGTTTCTCCGGCAATGGAGGAAATCAAGCTTTCTGCCTGCCATGGTCTGCCTTGGCTTCTGCTACTGCCTACAAAGTTTCAATTATAGAAGATGCATAAATCCCAGCCAAGATGGTTGCAGCCACAGGGTGAGCAGGAGGCTTGCCTCTGCTCAGGGCTACAAAGTTTCAGTTATAGAAGATAAATGAATCGCAGATACCAGGACCTCCTCTTGGGTTGATAGGGGGCGTAGCCTGCATGCAAACCACAAAAGGCCCCTGGCCCAGGCCACCTCCCACCTCAAGGGAACCACCACCCTGATCCGAGGCACCCTTCAGGGCAAACCAGCCGGCCCCTACCCGTTCACCAGACCTCCATCCTGTCTACTCCTCTTATCTAATAAATGAATAATATGAAAATTGACTGTCACGCCAACATTCAAAATGGCTGCCCCATTGTGGTCAAAGATGATTGATCTCATGTGGACACAAGATGGCCACAACAAGATGGCCAGCAGGGGAGGGCAGTTGGGAGGGACCAGGTCTTCAAGGGAGGGCAGTTGGGGGCATTGAAGACTGTAGGGGAGGGCAGTTAGGTGTGACCAGGCCAGCAGAGGAGGGAAGTTGGGGGGCGACTGGAGGAAAGGGCAATTGCGGGGGGGGGGGGGGGGGGACCTAAGCCTGCAGGGGAAAGCAGTTGAGTGTTAGGCATCAATCTGGCTCACAGGGGAGTGGTTAGGGGGTGATCAGGCTGGCAAGCAGAAGCAGTTGGGGGCAATCAGGAAGGAAGGCAGGCAAGCAGTTGGGAGCCAGCAGTCCTGGATTGTGAGAAGGATGTCCGACTGCCCATTTAGGCCTGATCCCGGTAGGCAGTCCAACATCTTCAGATTGGAGAGGGTGCATGCTGGGCTGGGGGACACACACCCCCTGTGCACGAATTTTCTGCACCGGGCCTCTAGATCACCTGTAAACCCGCCAAACGTGCGCCCTGGGAAAGTGCAATTTGCTGAAGGACACTAGGACTTTCTGAAGACGGGGCCAGGCCTGAGACTCATGCGCTCCCAGGGGCTGGCGTTACAGGACCCAACAGGACCCAGGGCCTGGGACAAGCCGCCCTGTGAGTGTGACTGGCGCACCAGCCGTTCCGAGGGCCGTCACCACTTCAGGTCCTGCTGTGTGGCTCCAGATGCAGCAATGAAGTGTTCGTTCCCGGACCCACTGTCTGGGGACTGGTGCTTGCATTCCCAGCCTCTCAGGAGGCAAATTAGGTGAAACGCTCACGTGCAGGTAAATGATCATGAAGCTTATTGACTTATTGACATTGTTTTAACTAGAGGGTTCTGTAGCCTCAGGTTTTCATACTGGCCCTTCAAACCCTTTGACATGTATCACGTCAACTCCCGTGATTGGCTAAGTTGATTAGTGAGCTATAATCAGCCTAATTGAGTTAGCAACACTTTCTAAGAAAGAACTGCTTGACAGATCCAGCTGTGGTTGGATCCACGAGTGAGCAGGTCTGTGGTTGATGTTAGTAACAGCAGCCGCGCGATGGTGCTTTCTGGGCTCAGCGGCCTTTCTGTAGGTGACCCGCCTAATCCGTCTCCTTGAGTCTAACTGCAGGGTGAGCTGGGCACGCTTCCTGTCCCCTGTTCAGAGCTGGGAAGGTGAGGCTTGACAAGGGTAAGCACTGGCCCAGAGGACAAGTGTTGGAGCTGGGTTCCGAACCGGGCCTGACAGATTACAGGCCCGAGCTCTTAACCTCTGTGAGCACGGCCTGCACTTCAAGCTGCTTTGGTCCCTGAAGATGCTACACCATCTTGGGGCACCAGCATTGAATAGTGGGTCCCTTCTCCTTTGGTGTGAGCTGTGGCCAGCAGGTGGTGCTGTGGGGGCAGAAATAACAGGGGTGCCGCCCTGCACTTGAATCCTCAGTGAGAACTGGGAGAAATCCCTTCTATTCATCCATGTACATGACGAGTTGAGGAAGTCAGATCACTCGCCTGCTCTCATGAGACTATGATTTGAAGGTTGTGAAGGGCAACCCTAGAGGAGAGGATGTGTCGGGATCTAAGCTGCGATGATCCTTGATTTTGAGGGTGTTTGGGTATGAAATAGAGGTAGACATTTTCTTTTTCCTTTTCTTTTTTTAAAATATATTTTATTGATTTTTTTTTATAGAGAGGAAGAAAAGAGGGATAGAGAGTTAGAAACATCGATGAGAGAGAGTCACAGATCAGCTGCCTTCTGCACACCCCCCACTTTGGGGATGTGCCGCAACCAAGGTACATGCCCTTGACCGGAATCGAACCCAGGACCTTTTAGTCCCCAGGCTGACGCTCTATCCACTGAGCCAAACCGGTTTCGGCGAGGTAGGCATTTTCATTACGTTCAAGTCATCCTGCCATAGAGGCTGTTAGAAGTTCAAGAATCATCAGTGATCCGAAACGGGTTTGGCTCAGTGGGTAGAGCGTCGCTCTGTGGACTGCAAGGTCCCAGGTTCAATTCCGGTCAAGGGCATGTACGTGGTTGCGGGCACATCCCGGGTAGGGGTTGTACAGGGGGCAGCTGGTCAATGATTCTCCCTCATTGACATTTCTAGCTCTATATCCTTCTCCCTTCCTCTCTGTGGCAAATCAGGAAAATATATTTTAAAAATAAATGGTAAAAAAATAAAAAGGATCATGAGTGAGCCCTGCCCATGTGGCTCAGTGCTGATAGTATCACAGGACCAAAGGGGCACAACTTTGCTTTCCAGTCAGGTGCACATACCTCGGTTGCAGGATTGATCCACAACCACGGTTGGGGTTTGTGAGAGAGGCAACCAGTGGATGTGTCTCTCTCACATCCGTGTTTCCCTCTCTCTCTCCCTCCCTCCACCTCTGCCCTCCCTTCCACTCTCTCTCTCTAAAGATCAATGAAAACTATACCCTCCCGTGAGGACTTTTTAAAAAGAAGTATTATGACTGAGTAGCTCGGGTGGACTACGTCACTGCATGCAGCAGGCCAGAAACATGCCCTAAGTGTCCCAAGGTCTTTGCGGAGGAGCAGGAGTTGGTTGTGTGTGAGCCAAGTTGTCAGGGAGCCTGTCACTAAAATGGATGAGTAAGCCCAGCTGGCGAGGCTGCGTCGGTTGAGCATCGTCCTGTGAACCAGGAGAACCCCTTGTGATTCCCGGTCAGGGCGCAGGCCCGGGATGCGGGCTCGATCCCCAGTACGGGGCGTGCAGAAGACAGTCGATCCATCTTTCGCATCAGTGATGTCTCTATCTCCCTCTCCCTCCCACTCTCTGACAATCAATAAAAACACATTGGACCAAAACATGGAGGAGTAAGAAAAGCCGAGCCCTAAATCGATAAACACCTTGTTTAATAACGTCACCCGGTGACATGGGAAAGGGGTCTAATGCGCCGTCTCCTCCAGCAACACAGAGTTCCCCTCTGGAGCTCCGCAGAGCACCGGCTCCAGGCGCCACTCCGGGGGCTCAGTGGAATCCGAGCACAAGTGACTCACGGAGTCCTGGTTCGGGGTGGGCCGTGGGGAATGTGGCATCTCTCCTGGGCCGGACAGGATTCTGATTGTCCAAGTACATTTAGCAATCGTAGCATCATTGGTCATTATTCAATTCATTCATTTGCTATTTTCTGTGTTTTTTATCTTTCCTCCCTTGGCTTAACAATTTAGCAACCTGGCAACAAGAGTGCCTTTTGGAGCAGGAAGAAGAAGGACAAAGTCAAAGACCAGCCTCCCAGGGCCAGCTCGACTTTGTCTAACCTAATATGTTGCTGCAGATGCTAAAGTGCCCCCCCCCCAACTAGCCTCTCCCTTTTTTCCGACCCCGAAGATTTATTATCCTTCCCCTTTATCCCTGTCTTGACCATATACCCTTTATTTCTGAAAAATTAAAAAAAAGAAAAGACAAAACCAACAACAACAAAACAACAAACAAACAAGCCCAAAGAAAATCAGTACTTATGGGGGGGGAAAAAAAGATCCCGTAGCAAATGGAAACCTCTATCGCCATGACAACAAGGCCACATCAAAGCCCAGGAGCCGCCATCGGTGTGCCTCACTAACTTCTGTGTCGTCTTCTTAGACCCCGGCACTGGCCCTGCTTCCTGGGCTGCCACGGCCTGCTCCTGCCTCCGCCGGGCTCCCGTAGGCACACTGGGAAACGCAAAGTGACTCTGGCTTGGCTGCTGTCTGTCCATCTCTGCCTCACTCTCCTCATGGTGAGTTCACGCACTGGATGCCTGATTTCAAGTGGTAACACGAGGTGCTTCCGACCTCATGGTGAGGGGCAGGGAGCAGGTCCTGGCAGAGTGAGGAGAGGGCCTGCAATCCGGACAGTGGGAGGGCTCCGGGCCCACAGCCCCCGGGCTGCCTGGAGCCAGACGCTGTGCAAAACAGCCTTGTCCTCCTGCTCCTGGAACTCCAGCTGCGTGCATTTGCCACTTGGGTTTGGAGAGCACATCTTGTCCCAGTGCGAGGTAGCTGGAGGCCTTTTAGGGGTTTTTCCCTCGTGGTTTCTTAAAATTAGGGTTCTGTTTGCCTTTGATAAGGGTATTGTTCACGACTAAATGCACAGATTGCAGAAAAGCACAAAACACAAGGTGAGCTCCTGTGCAGTAAAGGCACCATGCGGGGAGATGAGGACGTCTTAAGCCCACGGCTGTTGGGGTGGCCACCGACTTGGTTGTCAAGTCCTCAGGGTGCCGTCCTGGCCCGTGAGGGCCCGGCCCACAGGTCTCGGTGGTCCTGAGCAGACACGGGTCAGGGTGCTTTTAGGTCAGGGATCTGAGGACACAGCGGACACAGCAGCTGTGCCAGGACTTCATGTGCTGGCCTTGTGCCAACATTTGGTGGAGCCTCATGAGTTGGTCCTTCACGTTCTCCCAGCTGCTCAGGGCCCGTGCTGTGAGCGAGGGCCGGCCTCCCGGGGCCTTGGCTCAGGTCTGCGGCCAGGGCCTCCCGCTCAGACCACGGCCGTGAGGCACAGGCCCGCTTTTGTCCCGGGCTCCATGTGCCCTGCTGCCTCTGCTCTAGGCCTCGGTGTGGTCGCCCACCTTGGCATGGGATGTGGCAGCCCATTTCCCACCGTCCTTCTCTGCCCCAGGCCCTGGGCACCTAATACTGACGGGAGCCCCCCGCCCCCCGGGAGGCAGCCTGGACTGCACACATGCCTCTGCTGACCCAGCCCCAGCCCTGGCGTCCTGGCCAAGGCACTGTGTGTGCTGGGCCACGCTGGGCTGTGAGCAGGCCCAGCAGGAGCGGGAACTTTGAGGCTGGCCATGTGGCCTGCGCAGGGGCCGCCCTGGGGGGGAGGGCTCTCCGAGGACCCTCCTGTCCTCACTCCCGCCTCTCTGTCCTGTTCTCTTCTCTCTAGGAAACTCCCAGTTGCCTGATAACCTTCCAAGGTGACTGGTCAGAACCACCACGCTCTCCCTACCACTGACCACCGGAGGCCAGCAGGCCCAGCTGCCAGGAGAGGAGGGAGGACGCCTCCAGCTCTGTGCCCACAGGAGGACTGCCAGCCCCCCGGGAAGCTGCTGGAGGGGGACAGCTTTTGAAACCCAGCTTGAGACCTGCTGAGGCCGAGGCCCACCCAGTGCACCTGAGGCAGCCCGCCTCCCAGAGCCTGTTTCTGGGCAGAGCAGGACGCCACGCGGCTGCCCGACCGCCCACGCAGCTGCACGCGGGCGCTTCCCTGAACAGGTTCGTCAGCCTGGCCTCGGCCCGGCTGCTTGGGGCCCGCGGGCCAGAGGCCTGCAAACAGGAGTCTCTCTGCAGCTGGAGGTTCTGAGGCCTTGGGGGGCAGAGAACCAGCCAGCCACCCCCTGCCTCTCCTCCTTCAGCTCCTTCAGGGTCTGGGCCCCACTGCTGACCCCTGGACAGGAGGTCCTTCTCACTGGCTCCCCCAAAGGAAGAGAGGCTGGCTCCTCTGCTGCCCTCCACCGCAGCCCGCCGTGGCCACAGGAGGCGGCGGCTCCTGCCCAGCACCACGCAGCCCCGGCTGCCAGGACCAGCGCCAGCCCCGACACACAGGGCAAGCGGCCCCGTGGCCCCTTCCCAGCGGACCTCAGCCTCTCCGAGGGGACGGGTCCAGGGCAGGAGCACAGAGAGGGGCTCCCTGCAACTAGATCATACAGGGATCCCGACATGGCTCCCCGCCAACAGCCCCTGAGGACGTGGGTCCTGGGAACAACAGGCGGCAGAGAGCAGGCGGCAGCCCCACAGCAGCGCGGGCCCGGCAGACGGTGTCTGAGGATGGAGCGTGGCCGTGGTGACTCGTCTCAGGCCCCGCAGCTCCTGAACCTTACGAACCCCGACCAGCCTTCTGACCGCCTGGGCCCCCTCTCCCATCCACCTGAGGGGCCGGGATCGCTTTCAGAACGAGGAAGGGTTCCCACTGCTTCCATCCGTTGGTGACAGCGCTGTGCCAGCCCCAGGGTCACGCTCCCACCATGGCAGCACGCGCCTGCCCCTCAGCCACTGGTCTCTTTGGACCAAATCCACGTTGGCCTGGGGCTGCGCGCAGGACAATGACTAACCCACTCTCCGAGGCAAACACTGTCAGCGTGCCCCTTAGATCACGTGTCAGCCACCGGACCTCCATGGAAGCGTGTGTGCGTGGCCCCGGCTGAGGAGATACACATGCACGCATGCTTTCTGGACTGCGCCCTCATGGTCCATAAACTTGACTCTGTCCCCAGAATCAGTAATCCAGGGGAAGCCCAGACCGGCCAAACTACAAAAACCTCGAGGCCCGGGGTGACCCTGGACCAGGCTCGCTGTGACCCCAGAGCATCGCCCAGCCAGGCCTGGCCCCACGCCCCTCAGCCCAGGCCCAGGCGCCTGCCAGGCAGTGGTCTCAGGCCCTGCCTCTCTCCAGCTGGCTCCTGGGCCTCACAGGACCTGCCCCCTGCTCACTTTTCTACAAGCACTGGCTCTGCCAGGCCTGGGTC